ACAGACACCGGAGTTTTAATGTACGAAATCATCTACAACACGCCAGACTCCCGACGCAACATAGATGCCATCTCCCGCGTCAACTTCCTCCATAGCCGCTGGCGAGAGGCTGGGAAGATATCCAACGATGACATGCTCTACACTCTCAGCCTCTTCGTCCTCGAACCTATGCGCTGGACCGCACTATACGAGTGGAGAGACCTGACCATGTTTGAAAAGAATGCCCTGGCTATCTTTTGGAAAGATCTGGGCAACGAGATGGGCATCTCCTATGACTGCTTGGCTCCCCACATGAGCCAAAAGGATGATGCCTTGGCCTGGCTGGAAGCGCTCCAGAAGTGGTGCTTGAAGTTCCAGGAGCACCACATGGTCCACGCTATCTCGAACGAAAAGCTGGCACATGCGAATATTACTCTGCTCCTCATGGACTTCCCTAAGTTTACGCATAACTTCGTATTCAGGCAGTTGCGTTGCCTGATGGAACCTGTACTCCGACAAGCCATGGGGTAAGTAGCGCGACCGACTGATACCTTGGGTGGAGTGAATTGCTGATCCATCATGGCCTTAGATACGAAAATCCAAGCAAGTTGGATTTCTTTATTTTCAAGAACCTAGTCGCTTTCAGACGCAACGTTCTCAAGTACTTCTGTTTGCCACGACCAAAATGGTGGACCAACCCCATGATCCAAGATGTGGACAAGAAGACAGGCCGAATGTATTTGCCAAACTACCTCGCGCACCCCTACTACGTCAAGCCGGGCTTTTGGTGGCGATGGAGTCCTTCTGCTCTCTACACGAGACTAATTGGTGGACACTTACCTGGGGATGAGGGGTCCAAGTACCATCCGGACGGATACACCATTCCAGAAGTTGGCCCTGACGCCCAGAGATGCAAAGGCAAAGAGTACATGGAGCGCACGAGGGAGAGAATTAGTCAGGCTAGGGGTTGCCCCATGGCATTTCAGGCTTGACTTCGAGAAGGAAGCTTGGGTTGCAGTGCAGTGGCAAGCGCCATATGGACCTTGCGACGGGCTCTCTATTGCTCTCATTGAACCCTCCTCGGTTTGATACCATCCAAGCGATGTTTTGTGAGAATTTCGAATCGCAATGACCAACTTCGAGATTGCATACAAGTAGTAGTCTGCTAGCATCGTAATGAGCTCTTTCGTTTCCACGCCTTGGTCTATTAGCGACTTGGGTTATTACACTAGGCGTGACTGCCCATAAGACTTCCCCAGACTGTTACCTAAGCCTTCCTACCTGATCAAAGTCCCCTTTGCGCTTGCGTCTTTTGCGCCCACCATGCTGAACAGATCGCGCCCTTCATTTCTACACGATTCCGAATTCACCCCGTCGTGCTCATGGTATCTGTGCTGTTACACGGCGTAGCCTGCGTCTGGAATCGATCCAACCCACTGTTCGTCGTCGTCACCGACCAAACTATGACTGCTTCTCAACCACCCAAACAGTGGGCAACGATCTATCTCGCTGTACAGCTCTTTGTCGTCTATGAATAATAGCGGCGGACATAGCTCAGTTGGGAGAGCGTCAGACTGAAGCGGACTTCAAGCCCGAGAAACTTCATTCAATCAATCTGAAGGTCGTGTGTTCAATCCACACTGGCCGCATGTTCCATTTTTGCCATCCATTCTCATCTGTCAGCGGATGCGGCAACGCCTCTGCGAATAGTGTCGCATCTTGCTTTTTGCTTCCCTTGGGTAATGATGGATGAGGCAGTCGTATTCCACCTAGTTGACATTACATGTGATGTTGAAAATAGTCTGATCACTATCCGACGTGTTTGTGCCAACATTGAACGAACCCCTTGATATTCATCACTTGGGCGCCATCGGTGTTACATCAAACAGACTGAGTACATAATCACCTGCACATTCAATCAATGAAATCGCAACTATTGTTAAGTCGATGGAGACATTTCAACAGGAGGGACACTGTGCTCCTATGGCTAGGCACGCAACAGCCGCCACTATTGAACGTTGGGCAAATGAGGTACTGTGTCATTGCTCACAAAGTCAAGGTCAGATAACCCCATAACAAAAGGTCTTGCAATAAAACATGAACAGAGAGCAATCGCTGAATTGCTCTCGCGGCTTAGAGTCGTCCACGACCATGTAAAACAACATCGCTGCACGTTGCTGAAGAGAATGTTACTATTCGCATGGGTCCCACGTGAACTCTAAAACCAGTGAACATCGAGTTAGGGGTCCAAACCTGGTCACGTAGATGCTACAGCAACGGTGAAGTCGTATCAATGGCCCGGCACAACTGAACCGATATGACGAATAATTCAACAGTGCAATGCTCTTTGTTCCGTTTTCTAGTCGTACATGTACCGGGCTGGGGTATCGGCATTCTCATCGTCACGTACCTTTTCGTATGGAGTGATTCGAGGAAGCTGTGGCCCGGGTAATTTCGACGGAATACCGTCGATCAGGGGCCCATTGCCCCGTATGGGACTGCAAGACAAAGCGAATCGAAGCGTGGATGTCTGGGACATCCGCCAGGCTGGACATTGGATACCGAGATGCCGGGACAACACTTCGCGAGCATTAGCATTCTTTTAGCGTCTGATAAGAACTGCAGTTCTCCTCTGCATTGCGAGTAACCGTCGAGGTAATCTATTTTGTTAGCAGCCGGATATGGTCCACAACCGCAGCGTAGCATGTTGTCATGTTGTTGTGATGGGAGTCCGGATTGAGTCGGGATGTAAGACGGTGCCCGACTTGCAACCACACTGTCTGCATTTTCATGGATTATCTCCGCGAAGCTACCCTTATCTCGGCCAGGGTGCGCATCAAACGGGTGCTACACTTAACTGTTCAAGGGCTAGCATCATGATAAAGACATGGGGAAGAGTTGATAAATTCAGATAAGGTAGTCCTCCGACCGATGTACCGGCGATGGAGCATTTAAAAGGACCCGCGAAACCGACCCTCCGCAGATGAAGCCCTGGCAGCGTTTCCATTGCATCACCGATACCAGACCGCCAGAATGACTACCCACAAAGTCGATAGTAGTAGCGCCATGCCTTCCGGAGTGAACGACGACAAGATCAGGCCGCCATCGGTGCACAACGAAGTATCCTCGCTCAAGGAACAAGCCTTGACAACACACGAGGTCTTCAAGGATACTGAAGATGGCGTCCAGTTCCGCACGGTCAGCTGGCAGAGCGCCACGATCATGTTCCTTAAGATCCAGTTCGCCATGAGCATTTTGAGCGTACCCGGAGCTTTCGCCACTCTTGGTGCTGTCGGCGGTGCTCTTTCTCTCGTCGGATGGCATGTCCTCAACACTTGTTGGTCCCGCCAGATTTGAAGTCAGCGACAACAATGCTAACGACATGACAAGATACTGCCGTTATCCTAGGCGAATTCCGCAACCGCCATCCCGAGTGTCATAGTATGTCAATGTTGCCTTCGGGCTAGCGAGGAGGCAGTTACTGACGATTACACATAGCTTTGGCTGACATGTGCGGTCGCCTCTGGGGCCGCGTCGGCAAGGAACTTGTCGGGTTGCAAATTCTCGTCGCCCAAGTCCTTATTTCTGCAGCGGGTATTGTCTCGATTTCGACAGCGTTCAATGCCCTGTCCAATCACGGAGCATGCACCGTCATCTTCACCTTGGTGGGCGCAATCCTCATCACTATGTTCTCCGCAGTGCGCACATTCAGCCGGCTGGGCTGGCTCACCTGGTTCGGATTCGCCACCTTCTTCATCGCCGTATTCATCTTCGTTGTTGCTGTTACACAACAAGATCGACCGGCCGTCGCTCCTCCCGGCGAATTCGACCTCGGCTGGACGGCGATTGCCCACCCAACGTTTGTTGCTGGTATCACCGCAAGCGCAAACATCTTCATCAGTAACAGTGGCTCTTCTATGTATCTCCCAATCATCTCGGAGATGCGTCGTCCGGATCAGTATAGAAAGGCTGCTTTGGTGACTGGTGTTCTCGTTTTGGCGATGTATCTCTCATTCTCACTGGTTATTTACCGGTGGTGTGGTGTTTGGCTTGCGACTCCCGCTTTTGGAAGCGCTGGTCCTTTATTCAAGAAAATCTCGTACGGTGTTGCACTTCCAGGTCTGGTTATCGGCGTGGGTATTTACCAACATGTGGCGGCGAAATACCTCTTTGTGCGCATCCTGAGAGATTCGCAGCATCTCCAGGCAAACACCGTCATCCACTGGACAACCTGGATTGGCAGCAACATGACGCTCGGAATCCTGGCGTTCATCGTCGCAGAAGCCGTCCCAATCCTCAACTATCTCCTCGGACTCGCGGGAGCTCTCTGCTTTGCTCCCTTCAGTCTCATCTTCCCGGCTTTGTTGTGGATGCAGGACTTTTCGTCGTACAAAAAGGGAGGTGCATCAAAGAAAGCAATGTACGGGTTTCACGTTTTCGTCGTCCTTGTGGGCCTATTCATGGTGGTTGCCGGAACGTAAGTATATCATATTCCTTTCCTGAAGAACAAAAACTAAGTAGGCCACAGATATAGTGTAGCCGTGTCTATCAAGGACGCGTATGCGTCGGGCTTGATTTCGAAGGTTTTCAACTGCGCCGACAACTCCGGGACAATCTCCTAATTCGAACACCTTTCGAACCAGGTTCCTGGGAAAGGATCTCAACTGTCTCGCAAAAATTCGCGTCTGAGGCAAGTTTACCGACGGCTGTCATTACCAGAGTCAGTTAGTGTCAATAAAAAAAGTGTTTGCTTTTTGGCAGAATCCCATGACCATGGATCGGGCAAGATGTGCCTACTTCCGCGAGTCCGCAAAGTGAAGCGCACCCTTGGGAAAAGCAACTTCCCCCCTTGCTAGGCAAAAGGAAGTCGGGCAGGCGGTGTGGCCCAATCCTTGCATCGTGAACCCAATCGCCTTAGATCTCGACCAACAGATGTCATCAATCTTTGTTTCTGTCACATCCCTGGGACCGGCAGTCACATCACGTTCGGCGGTCGGGGCCCAATATGACAATTGTTTGCTCACCCAACAGGCCTTGTTCACGCATTTTCGGCGTTCGGACCTCAGTGCTGTAGGCTAACATAAAGAACGAGAAGATTCCGCCCTTTCGAACAGCAATAATCATTTCCTGCAAACAAACTAATCAAACCAAATCACAACTTACTGCAACCATGGGTTCCTTAGCTGTTCAGTCGCACTTTTCTAGTCTGGTTGAGGCTCCTTACGATGAAGCATTCGTTGTAATGCAGTCAGTCGCAGCAGACCCCACCTCTGATAAGGTCAACCTCGGTCTCGGCGTATACAGGGACGACGATGCACAACCTTGGACATTGCCATCTGTCCGAAAGGTGCGGTATCCTCTAGCTGATAAGATCCCGCTGTCTAGCCACATGCTAACCTCAATCTACTCGACATATAGGCACAAGCGCAGATCCAAGACAACCACGATTACCTACCTGTTGCCGGACTTCCAACATTCGTCGAAGCTGCTAGGAAACTCCTTCTTGGAGATGTCCACGACGCCGTCAAGAGTCGCTTGACCACTGTACAGACTATTGCCGGGTCTGGAGCCATTCACTTGGGAGCATTGTTCTTGGACAAGGCAGTCAGACCAGAGAACGTTTGGATCTCAGATCCATCTTGGGCAAGCCATGAACAGATCTGGGAGAATGCTTCACCAAGTACTCAACGCAGGTTCTACCCATACTTTGATCACAAGACGAAGTCGTTCGACCTGGAGGGCATGTTGAAGACTCTGAGACGAGACGCACGACCGGGCGACATCATTATTCTGCAAGCCTGCGCCCACAACCCTACAGGATGCGACCCAACGCAGAAGGAATGGAACGTCATTGCCGATATTTGCGAGGAGCTCAGCATTATTCCATTTATGGATATTGCATAGTAAGTGTTGTACTTCTTTTCCCATGACTTGAACGCTACTGACTGGTTCCTGTCAGTCAAGGATTCGCATCTGGCGATGACCACCACGATGCATGGGCGGTCCGTCACTTCGTCGGCAGAGGAACGATGGAGGTTTTGGTCGCCCAGTCATTCTCCAAGAGCTTTGGCCTCTACGGTCACCGAGTTGGCGCCCTTCACATCTTGGCCCACGACTCCGCCGCGATTCCGGCTATCAAATCCAACTTGCTTCAATTCATCGGTTCTGAGTACTTGACTCCCTCAGCATGGGGTGCACGCATTGTTTCAACAATCCTCAACGATCCTGAACTCACAAGAGAGTGGCGCCAGGACTTGAGAAAAATGAACGCTCGCGTCAAGAGCATGCGAGCGTTCCTGTTCGTTGAGCTCACGAAGCGAGGCACACCTGGGTCTTGGAGACACATCATCGATCAGATCGGCATGTTCTCCTACACTGGTCTCACTGCTTCCCAAGTCAAGACGATGAGGGAGAAACATCACATCTATCTCTTGTCAACAGGAAGAGCGTCCATATCAGGATGTGAGTTCGAGCTCCATGTTATGTTATTTGATGACTTCTGTACTGATTTCGTGGACAGTGAATAGCAAGAACGTTTTCAGGGTTGCGGAAGCAATCGACCAAGTCGTGCGCGCAGATGCGGGCGTTTGAATTACTCGTATTGATATCCATTTGGTTTGACTTTGCTCGGGCGTTTGTACATCACTGCAACTGGGCTGGCGATTTGTAGCACCGCACATAGTTTTCATCGGTAACATATTTAAGTAGTTCGAGTAGAAACCAAGCATCCTACATGCAGTATTTAATGTCTCTGAGAATCCTTTTCCTCTATTATTCCAGATATTCTGACAGGTGACCAAACCACCTCTGAGACATGCTGCTCGTGGTCCCCTTAGCCACTGCCTAATCGGGCAACCGTGATGTGGGCAAGACCTTCGATAAGTCACAGGTAGGCTGAACAGATCAAAAACAAATCACTATGGAGGTGAAAACTCAGTGGTTCGAAAATGCCAAGTTTGGGGCGGTCCAGGTGGGAGAAGATGTCTTTTTAAAACCTCGGATGCTACATGGATTCAACTTGTTGTGAATAACCGGGATCTGTCCCCCATGCTATGTCCTTTGCCGCAAAATCTCCCTTTGAAGCCGATTACTGGCTGGGGTCATCGCAGCCGCCGAGAACAAAATTGATGTTGCTGAGAGGGCATCCGGAGTCGACGGAGTCTATGCACGCTTGGCTCTTGCAGCTGTTTTGCTTGAACTTCTCGCGGGCGTTGTTTTGCTAATTGCGCGTTAGTTTACGACAGAAACCTCAACTATACTCTCCTCATTGGTGATTAGATGCTACTTACGGGGACTGCAGCCACAAGGGTGCTCATGGTGAACAGAGCGATGCAAAGGGAGGAGATACTGAACTGCATTGTGAAAAGTTTTGGCGGGTGAATTACGAAGTGAGAATAGAGTTGGCCGGCAACAGGTAGATAGAATAGAAGGCTGCAAGTGTATTGAATTGATAGCGGGTTGAAATGATGATCGACTGATGATGTGCGCAGAAGATCGTGTTTAATATACCATGTTGAGCATGAACCAATCCCACCGGAGCGTCAAGCTTGGCTTCAAGCTTACCTTGTGTTCCACTCGTGTGATCGACGTTGGTGACTCGAAACGTCGCATGTGTCTCGATTTATTATGATGCTTAATATGACTATGGATGCAGTGTCGACCTATTGAGCTCGTGTCCTCTTGACACTACCCATCAACTGCAACCTTAGCAAGGTAATTTATGGTCAAAGTGATATGTTGGGCGTTGGCTCCTGAGTAAGGAATCCACCTTCCGGATCGTGTCGTTGTGCGATTTAGACATATGCTCGGATTGGAAATGCGTGTGTTGCGCGTCAAACGTCCAGTTTTGAAGACCTCAATAACGTCAACGCAATGAAAAGAGAGCATTTCGAATGCAGAAGAAACACCCAATCGTGCATCAAACGAGGCTACTGTGATTGCTTTCAAATGTTTGGCATCAGAACCAAACTTGCAAGAAAATCCCATGACCGTGTATTAATGTCCGTTGGTCTTGTTAGCTTCTTAGACTTAAGATGACAGCGGCTGAAGCCTGACGTTGACACCTGTGCAAGGACTTGACAGCTGAATAAGTGCTCGGTATAGCCGACCTCATATTGAAGTTTCAGAGGTGCGACTCTTTGAACCAGGGTGCGAACAGCGTGTGGTCGCTGACTGAGTGTTCCAAGGGGGCATAGATCCTGGATCTTTGCTACTTGTGTGGGGAATTGAAAGCTGGGCGGTCCCAGCTGGTGGTAGTAGGGGCTTCCCCATAAGTTGAGGCTGACTTTGAGAGCATGTTGTTGTCCCCCAGGATCTGCAAAGATGTGACGCTCGCAGTGCGAATGAAGTTTTAATGATTGACTGCAGTATATGCAGTATTGGGTGAGGCTACATGTGGTTCTGCGTGCTAGAGAGTATTCGTAGACCAGTCTGCATGTTGCATGCCCTGAGTAGAGAATCGCTATAGCATGTGCAGCGTTGATGGCCTGAACCTGGCTGGTGAGGCCGCGAAACTAGGTCAACAGTTATTGTCGTTTCGCATCGAGAGGATGGGTAGCACTGAAGTCACAGAAAGTTTCACTAGCGACGACGATCAGTGAACTCATCGATATCATCAATAGAGATTAATAGCCATTCTCCAAGATAGCTAGCAAGGCCTACTTTGGCGAAGTGTCTTCAAGCCACTAAACCAAGGGCTACTATCATAGAGAATCCAAAGCCGTTTTTCCCAAATGTGAAAGGCGCGACACAAATGATACAGAAGGAAATTCCAATCGCTGTCTCGACTCAAGCCCTTCGCTTACTATTCCAAGCATATCATGACCGCCTCAACCGTTTTGGAAGTCTTTCCAACTCAGATCCTAGTCCAGGATGACGAGTCATCTCAGAAGTGATCATCCGGGCTAGGGGTTCGCTGACATGTGCTGGGCAGCCCTGAATTATAGCCGACCTCAGCTCGCTCAGCTCTTCTTCTCTGCCTCGGCAATGCAGTATAAGCTTCTCCAAAACAGACATAGTAAACGTAGCTCTTGGCGGGTCGGCTGCCAATCTTGCCATGAGGCCCCTGAGCTCGTTGCAAAATGACGCTACAATCGACTCGTCTGGATATTTTCTCGCAAGGTTTCCAAAGGCAGCATCGACGTGTGAGCCATCCTTATGACAGGGCAGCTCAGGCACACCAAGACATGCACCTGCTCGCAAGAATGAGTCCAGCGTCCTGAGGTAATCTTCAAAACACTCCTCGCCAAGGAACTTGGATAAAGAAATATCCAAGAAGTGTGAGAAGACAGTACGTGCCCCTGGGCGGTCGAGCAGTGGTTTGTTGGGTTCTGCACCGCGAGACAGCAAGCGGCTAAAGGTGGCATTCTTCAGGGAGTCGTTCCACCGTCGAGCAGGGAACATGCACGGCCCTGACAGCATATTGAAGACAGACATCGTGCTACGAGCGAAGACAACCCACGGCGAAGGTGCATCAGAATCGCCTGCCATGCCCATCTCTCGTGGGACGATGTTTGGATCCTCTCCACGGCAGAGAAGAATATCGAGAACTTCTGGTGCAGGCGCAGAACTTTCACCGCTACCGCGGGACATGGGCATAAGCGCTGCAAACAGAGGCGACTCGTCCAAGACTTCGAAAAAATCCGGGATCTGGTGAACCTTCTTTGCCAGATAAGGCGCCAAGTCGTGTCGGAGGAGCTCTTCGCGGAACAGCGCCCTCGCATCGCACCCGCGAGAATTAACGCCTCTCACATTCAACTGGCCAAGGGCGACCATGTTCACGATGGTTGCCTCATACTCGTCTAACAATTCCTCGACTTGCTGGCTTTGGTCAGAACCAGGTTGTTCAGCCTGTTTCAGCGCCTCTGACGCGTACAGCAGGGCCTGATTCAGTTGCGCAATGAATGGGCCACTATTCATCCCTCGCCCTTGCCTGATGATGTCCGCGACGATCGAATTATCACGGCGAGTGGCTCTCAGAAACCCGAGATAGGCGGCGGCAATGGAGATGAAGCCATTGTAGTCTGCCGGAAGCTTCTCCCGGAGAAAAACGCCAATGTCTTTTGTCGAAACAAAGTCCTTCACGGTTCTGTGAAGGAATTCGACCCGGTCGTTGACAAGCTTGAGGAGTCCTTTTGTCTTCTCGTTGATGCTGCCACTGGTTTTCCCTCTCCGAAGGGCAGAATTATCCCTGAGCTTTGAAGTTTCCGTTTTTTGAGAAGAATGTTTGTCATCTTCCAATTCTTCTTCCAGTTGCCAGTAGATATCAACGTGAAGCGGCTCCAACGCGTGTACCGCACCCTGCAAGATCCCTGCCATTTTGCGATGGTCGGCAGGATTGACGCTGTCCAACATATGCCGAAACAGACGATCTAAATCTGAAGGCAGTTTGCTGAAGCGTATGGCCAGGTCGCTCAATTTCTCGCCATTCGAGAGACCTTCTCGTAAAGACCGCGTAACGAAAAAGGCCCAGAGGAACACACCATCAGCCTGAGACACGATTCGATCGACGAGCTCGGCCTGCTCGGGGAAAACAATATCGGACCCTCCGAGACTCCAACGAGGGTCAGTCTTCAGCTGATCTTTCACAAACTTCCGAATATCGTTCCTTGTTAGCTCATGGATATCAAGCCTTTCTTGGTCCTCGTTACCGAAAGTCCTTTCGAAAACTGGCCATGGACGGCTGGACAAGCACATCCTGATGTGGGGAGACATGGCCATATCAAGGAGAACTTGACAAAGCTCAGCGTGATTGCTGTCGTACTCATCAAGTCCGTCAATGAAGAAACACATCTTCAGCGGCACATGATCAGCTGTCGACAAAGATCGCAACGCAGCAGTAAGCTCAAACACCGACCAAGGTTCGGCAGCGGTCTGCCACTTCCCAGCCTTTGCAGCCGTCCATCGATTAGGACAGGCGAGAGCCACAGCATCTGAGTGTCCGTGTAACAAGTCATGGAGAAGAGACTGGAGGAGCCCCTGCCATGATCTCTGCATCGGTGTACCCGCGATCCAAAAGCAATGTGCCGCAATTGCCAGAGTGCTTGACGGGCCTGCCCATCGTCCAAGCAACTCTTTTGTCTGGGGGTGGTTGGCGATGAATTTCATGAAAGTGGACTTGCCAGATCCGGGCTTACCTGAAATCCAAAAGGTTCCGCGCCCAGACAAAAACCAGTCTGACAACCGAGAGTCAAACGCCCACTGGAAAGTGTCCTGGTGGGCTTGCGGGATGGAGTCCAGGCGAGCGGGTCGACTGCTGTAGTTCAGACTCGACACAACCGTGTCAGCGAGCAAGGCGTCTTCTGACTTGGTCAGTCTAGCGAGTAGGACTCTGAGTTGATTGACGTCGGCCTCCGAGTAGCTTGCATTTGGATCTGTCTGTTTGTTCTGTACTTGTGATTTCACCTCTTCCAGGTCATTCGACATGAGATCGACTTGGGATTCGTACTCTGGTCGAGCAAATCGTCCTTCGCTCTCCAACACCTCCAAGGATTGACTTATTTGCGGTAGACGAGAGCTAGAACATGATGTCAGAGAGCAGGGTGGTGTAGCATTCGCGCTACATACCTAAGGATCGAGACAATTTGACGTGTCACAGAAGTGTTGATCCGATGAACTTCTTGATTGTAGTGTGTGTCTACTCGACGAGACCCCGAAAGCTCTGGGGTGCTTGGTTGGTCTCTTAGCCTCTCGAACGACCGTTCTATGATTAACTCTATCTTCCCCAAAAGCGAGATACAATTGTCTCGGGAAGAAAGCAAATTTTGTAGCGAAATCGAGGCACTCAATGACTCGGATTCACTCTCCAGTAATACCTGTTTCTCTACTAAGGAAACTTTCAGCCGCCTGACAGTATCTAGATTGACTTCTTCATTGTTGCGATCTCGTTGTGCGGTAGACTGAAAAGTTGTGAGAGTCTCCGTAATGTAACTTGTTGCGTTCAGAATGCATCCCGCGGTATCAAGGGCCGCGATGGCATTCATGGCTGCGGATTGTATGGCAACAGATTCAGGTTCGGATGTGCGGTGAAAATGCGGTGTAAGATCTTGGGAGAATACACCATGTGCGGGGTCAACCGAGGAGATCGAGGAGACACATTTACCTGTTTGTCACGACTGATAAGAAACCGGGCTCGTCCAGGGAGCGACTGGGAGTCACGTACACATACACATCAGACATGCAGGTAAGATACTAGTAGTTTGCTGGCCCCTTTCATGCAGGACTGGGGCGTAGCATAAGTAAGTACGAACTCACCTTACCCAAGTGTAGGGCTGACTGTTTTTGCCATCACGATTGATCGTTAACGGGTATTGGCCAAGTTGAGAGTGGCATTCATCGTCCACAGGGATGGATTACTTGAATGATGGTTAGTATATGTAGGCATGTGGGAGCTACATGTAACCACTTGCTTGGCATGGTAGTCCTGGATAGAACTTAATAGAGATGGAGAGGGAGGAAGCAAAGCTCCTTTCCAAGTTGACGTCTCTTGTTAGGCTCAAGTAAGACCACAGCGCTGAGGGAAGCAAGAAAACAAATAGCGGAATCGGAAACGTCCATTATTTGGACAAAAGTCCGCCGAAATCCTGGCAGAGTTGCAGGGTTAATCGTGAAAGTCCCTTTCAATATTAGTTATTCGTACAGCAGCCCAATGGCAAGAAGGAAAGACTTGTCGGCTGGTAAGCATGGCCACGTAAGTGGCCGGGAGGTGCAGTGGTCAGCACCTTATTTTGCGAGACTCCGTCTGACATGCTGTGATGTGGGTATCCTGCACGTGCTGTGCCTCTCAGAGCCGTGTCGCTCGCGCATAAAGAGAAGGTGACTTTTCAGCTTCTGGGTGTCAACATGGCTGTCACAAACTTGGTCAGCTTATTTGCATGGGCCGAAGAGCGGATTCTTGGACTTCTGTCACATAAATACATGCATGTTCCGCAGTCTTCTCATCGAAGGTTCCGGGAAGAAACTCAGTACGATAAACAACCCGCAGAACTTAATCATCTCTGTGTACAACTCAAGCCTTGGGAGCTTTTGGGTTCAGACTGAGATCGAAGAAGCTCAGTGAGCATGTCTCTCGCCGGGGCGCGCAACCTGCTTTCTCAGTGGTTCCCGCCACAACCGACCTACACCGAGCAACACGTCCCATCTCAGAAAGGGAAAGTATTCATCGTCACAGGCGGCAACCATGGGATTGGTTTCGAGCTCGTCAAGATTCTATATGCGACTGGTGCCAAGATCTACATGGCATCGCGATCCAAGGTTGGTCTCCATAGCAAACTTGATACTTTTGAACTTCAAAAAACTGCCGACGTCCGTTATCACTGCATGCCTGTTGATCTTCAAGAGTTTCTGGCTTTGCTCCGCCACAGAAGCAGTTCTATATATCTGAATCTTGTGCTTTTTTGAAGACTAACCACTGCTTTAGGAACGCGCTGAGAAAGCGATAGAGACCGTCACAACCGCCACACCAGGACCCTCAACACCCGGCACAATAGTCTTCCTCCCCTTTGATCTAAACGACCTCGAAAGCATTAAAGCAGCCGCATCTCTTTTTGCACAGAAGGAGTCCCAACTTCATATCCTCTGGAACAACGCTGGCTCGGGCGCATACAGAGTAGAAGAAGGCGCCAAGACGAAGCAAGGCCTTGAACCCATGGTCGGCATGCACTGTGTCGCTGCGCAACTATTCACCCATCTGCTCCTACCTCAACTCCGGGAAGCTGCGAAATCACATGCGGCTGCAAAAAGCGCGGTCCGTGTTGTATGGACTGCGAGCTTCATGGCGGAATTGACAACTCCCCAAAACGGCATTGACTTTGACCTCCTTGAAAAGGGTACGTCAGACCGCGAGCTGAACTATGCTGTTTCCAAATTTGGCAATTGGCTTCTCGGCCGCGAGATGGCTTCTCGATATGGTTCCGAAAATATTGTCAGCGTCATACAAAACCCTGGCAACTTGAAAGCTGGTGCCTACGATGGAGTCCCAGCATTTTCAATGTTCTTTATCAACCGCCTCCTGTACGAGACAAAGTTCGGTGCGTATACCGAGCTGTATGCAGGACTGTCTTCAGATGTCTCACTTGCCAACAATGGCGCATATGTCATTCCCTGGGGACGCATTCGTCTTGACGAAGATATCCCAAGAAAGGACATTGCCAAGGCCTTGAAACCCGAGACGGAAGGGGGCCTTGGTTATGCTACCAAGTTCTGGGACTGGTGCGAGGAACAATGGAAGCCATTTATGTGATCTTCGAATCGATAGAATCTGTTTGTTTATCTCTATCTCAGCGCCCCTCACACTGTCGATGATGAAATGGGAGACACGCGGGAGATATCCGTACAGCTGTTCTGTGCTGTGGACATGGATTCTGTTCTGCCTCCAAAAATGCCAACACTGCCTTGCCTGTGAACAACGGACCCATCACACTTTACTTACCTCATTGTGCCTTACAATCTTTCCAAGACGTTCCGTTGCTGATGACGATTTCCTGCATGGCTCGCCCTGGTCCATGGTTGCGGAAACCTGCATGGGAACGGGGCAAGATCGGGCCCGGACCCGGACATGTGGATAGGCGGAGTTAGGTGTAGCCCAATCAAGGAACGCAGATGAAGCATAATCGGTCCGAATCCGCATTCTCAAAAGAATGGCACGTACTGTCATGGTCTCAAAACACTTGGATTATAAAGTATCAGGGTATCTATCCTAGCCGCAGCCAATTCGTTATACATAAAATGCAGTTGAGGATTTAGGCCGCGATGTCCTTCTCCTTCTCCTCAACCTCGAGTTCGCGAGTGGGCTGTTGCGCTTTGCTGCCCCAGCGACCCATGAAGAAGTTGCCGAAAGCCTGGGTGTTGTTCCTCATGTTCATGGCGACAATCTCGCTGGTCGGCTTCTCGAAGAGACGATCAATGTCCTCGAGAGTCTTGTCCTTGGTCTCAGGCATGAAGATCATCTGTGAATTGTTAGTCCGAAGTTCATCTTCATGTGGAAACGGAAGTATTTACCTGGTAGAACCATCCCAGGATGGCAATGCCACCGTAGAAGCCCAGGGTAAGACCAGTACGGGTCATGGCCTCCTGCATAGCGGAGAAGTTGTAGGTGACAATGAAGGAAGACAGGAACAGCAGACCAGACGACGTGGTCATGCCGTAGGATCGGAGGTAGGTGGGGTAGACTTCAGAAGGAACAACCCAGGTGAGACAAGCGTAGCAGCCGAAGAAGCCCATGTACAGAGCCAAACCGATGAGGTAGCAAGCCACGGCACCGGTAGTGTTGGTGTCGGTAGGGATCTGGTAGCTGGCACCGATAATGACCAATCCGACGAAGAAACCGGGAAGCATAGTGTTGGCCCAGAAGCGACGACCAAACTTCTCCATATAGAAGCAGGCAGGGATGGTGCCGATGAGCAGAGATCCACCACCGACGAGAGACATGTAGGTGGCCTTCTCGTCGTTGAAACCGATCTGCTGCATGAGGATAGACATGTAGTACATGATGGCATTGACACCAGTAAGCTGGCCAAGAAGAATCATGATATTGGCGTAGACCAATGCACGACGGGCGCGGGGGACGGTGATGAAGTCCATCCAGGGGAAGCGCTTGTTCTTGGCACCCTCAGACACTTGCTGCTTCTCGTCGACGACGGAAACCTTCATGACGAAAAACTCTTCTCTGGCCTCAGGAGTAGAGATACCACGGATGCGCTTCCACACCTTGTAGGCCTCGAGCGTCTTGCCCTTGTGCATCAGGTAACGAGGAGACTCGGGCAGGAAGAGCATGCCGGCGAACATGATGGTGGAGAAGAGAAGGGAGGATCCAAGAATCCAGCGCCAGTTGCCGGGCACGTGGATGAACATGGCGGCGATGGCGTAGCCCAGAACCTCACCGAGGGCGATGTTGAGTTGGTATAGGGAGACGACATTACCACGGATGCGACGTTCGGCGGTTTCGGCGACGTAGACGGGGACGGTACCACCCTCGAGACCGACACCCATTCCGAGGATAACACGAGCAGTGACGATCATGCCTTGATAGTGAGTTAGTCATGTCCGGCCTACAGACGCGTGATGGGGTGTAGATGGACTCACCAAAGTTCTGGGCACCGGCGCAAAGCGCACCGCCAATAGTGTAAAGGATGCAAGAGATGATGATGGACATCTTTCGGCCGAGGTATTCGTTCGAGGGACTGAGGATAATGGCACCACCGACGGCACCGAGAGGCATGGCAGAGTTGACGAGGGAGTTTTCGCGGGTTGTGAGGCCAAGATCACCAGGGAGGAAGAGATTGGCGCCCGAGATGAGAGACTGATCGAGACCGGAAAGGAGACCGCCCATGGAGGCGAAGGCCACAATGAGCCATGTGAAGTACTTGGTGTTGGTGAACTCGAGTTGGAAAAAGCCCTTCTTCAAACCACCAGCGGCCTCCAGCTCCCGCTCCATGCTGTCGATGAAAGCATCGACCTCCCAACCACCGGCCGCGGCGATGGCGGCAGCATCCTTCTCGTTTACACCGGGAAGAGCATTGGCGAGGTTCTCGACGTGAGCCTCGTTTTGGCCGTCTGGGTTGTGTTTGCCCGAAATCTTCGGGGCGAGTGTGACTCCGTGCATGTTGTTGGGTAGTTCCGCGTGGCCGCGAGCCAAGACCTCGTTTAAACAAAGATTGGCCCAAAAGGGTAATAGCAGATCTGATTAAGGCTGATGCTAAGAAATGCGGCTCTGATGGTCCGGAGGGAAAAAGACACCTGCCAAGGAAAGACGGCTAACACCAGAGACTGGGACGAGCCGGGCTTTTAATCACCCTCTGCGTTTCTCACAGAGTCACCACACTACTCACGACGACACACTAGTAGATCAACAATAAGAGCGGCCAATATTCCAAGTCAGCCAACCCGAAGACGGCATTGATGGATTGTGGATTCCTCGCCCGACTCTCGACGTGACCGTCTGTCTAACCTCGACACCAACATCGTCATCCGAAATTTTTGTCTGGTGTTAGTGTGGAGACCTGGAGAGAAACGGCCGAAGTAGGAGCGACCTCTTGTCCGCATTTTCAGGCCTCTTCTCCAGTGGAGAGACCCCAGGAACACGGAACACGCACTTGGAGAGCATTAAGCAGGCTGGGGGAGACGCCGGAGGGAGGGTGGAGGGCAGATGTTGCGGGCGCTGAGACTCTATTGCCCTTGGGGCTCCAGACTTTCCTCACACACAGTCTGCAGAGCGTGACCATGGGGCGACGCGGAGCCCGGGGTCCCAGTTGTCTGTTCTGGCCCCCAGGTCTGGCAGGCAAAAAGCAGGCAAAGGGCTCCCGGAGATCAGGCCGCGACGACCGTTCTTCTTCCCATCTGACTCGCGACTCCACATCCGCGCAGGATAGCGTTTGTGCGAGACCCGCCCGAAGGGTGGGTGGTTTGACCGAAAATTCTCCCGGTACCGTGTTCTGGATCTACTCGGTGACAGTCCGAAGCCCGCACCGTTCGTTCTCGTGACGACGACGGAAACGTACGGAGTCTCCGCGTGGAGAAAGCAGACTCCAGAGTTACCAACATGTTAAAATTTCTCACTCTGGGGATTGGATTGGGGAAGGTTTTCTGGGACCTTGGAGATGTGGGCTGACGTCAACCCTAGGGGGGGAAAATCTAGAAGCGGCACATGGACAGTCAGACTTGTGTTGTTTGCGAGCATGAGGTTTTGGGTGGTTCTCGGCGATGAAAGCCGTCTCTTTACGAAGTAAGTATTTTGCTTCGGTTTTACTCTGTCAAGAGTCTCTTCCCAAGTACCCATGGTCAAGATCTAGCATGCCCCTGGTCTCGCTGTATCTATTACTTTACAGAGAACGTGGTCTGACACATCACCACGTGTTGGGAACATATCTCCTTCGGGACGAGCAGATCGCAATCGTCGTGCCTGACCGCTTGGTGGCTTGTTCCTAGCTCCCGCCAGCTACAGGTCCCGGTCCGGGTGGGAAGCCGCACTCTTGGCTGATGACAAGAATTATCTGGCCGGCTTGGCGCTCCGTGAGGCGGCAGGGGAGTCTGCTAGGCCGCAGCCGCCGCACCGATCGCGCGATGCCAAGTCGGCGAGCAGCAAGCTAAGGCAAGCGAAAAGGAATAGAAACGGCTTCCGACTGGTGCTAGTCCAGCATTCGGCCTTCTAGCTCGTAGACCGGCTCAGCAAGGCCGATACGACACTCGTCCTGTTACAGATTGTCACAAAAATTCGTTCATCCCTTTTTAGCGTTGCGACAGGGCTCTCCTAGGCTTCATGTGGGGGGCAGAAGAAAAATTGGCAAGATTGCAAATATCAAGGAAATACGGATAATGCCTGAAAAACCTGATTGTATCGCTCAAGACATGGATTTTGGTCTGTGCGACAATGATACATTCTAGAAGCTCTCTGACGGATCATTAAAGTTGTCAAACCAACATACTTCATCCCATTGATTCAAATCAAGACTGATTTGTTGCTGCTCATCTCTCTGCAACTTTGTAGACGTCCTCTTTGGAGTTGGTTCACTGATGTTCTTCAAAAGTCTGCCCGAATTTGCCCGGCATTCATGCAACCCACAGAAAATCCCATCTTTTCCCCTCACAGACCATTCGAACCCCCGCGAAATGGAATGGAGCAAGCATGGCTAGGTCACATCAGCAACCTGTGGATCATTCCAATCATGTCTCATTGGCTTTTGATCCCTGCAGGAGTGTTCCGTAAGTCCGAAAGATAACTTTGACCATGAGGCCGGTTCAGCCGTTCAATCGTTACACTTCATCTCTGCATATGCGTTACCGGCGGTATGGACTTTCCTTTGACAAGATAAGGATTTGCTGTCTTATCGTTACCCGCCGGACTGCGAGATTTCTAAGCACGCCGATCGACTACCGACAATGATGTTGTTGATCTGTCGCCGTTGTGGCTTCACGAGTCAGACTAGAGTGCTAGTCCTGCCGATCTGAGCGCACCTTGACGAAGTTGCCGCCTCCCGCCGTTGTGAGCCCGAGGAGAATGGGCTGAAATGTATGGTACTACGGGCAGGTCCAGAAGTAAAGCCGGCGCTACATGGAAGCTGTCTGCAAGCCAAACGATGCTAGACGGACACTTGTGACACTGTACTTCCTCTGACAGATAACTGTTGGTCCTTTCCCTTGCATTCTTAGTCTGATACGTTTGTGATGTCAATAAAAGTTGTTCGGATTTTTGCGCTTATCGTCACCTCAACCTGGTATCGAACATAGGCCTATTTACTTCCGTGTAGTTCACATGTGATAGAAGAGCCTGCTCTTACCTAAGCGAAAGTGTGAAGCTTTATGTTGCTGATCCAAGCTAGCCCAGGAAACTTTCGCAAACAGACTCACCTTGGTTCGTTTCAGTAATATCGAGGCATGTAGTGCGTTGACTTCAAAGACACATGCATTCCCCTAAATCGACGACTCCGCATACTTTCAGGTTAATTGTTTCCGTTTATCGATGCTGAGAGATCTGGGGATTTCAAACTGGTGTCTTTGTTTAACCTGTGGGTACTTGCCAGAGTCTAACGGAACATGGTCTGAAAATAGTATTTAATCCCTCAATGCACCCCATTCACGCCATTCAGTCCATTGACGCCTCCTGATTTCTGCGCCCAGAACTCCTTTCTGAACATGGCCTCCATCTCCTTCCTGATAGCCACCGCTTGCGTCTTTTCGCTATACTCAACATCTTGCCAGCTGAGGCCGTGGTCCTTCTGGACGTCGCGTTTCAGAACAAAGCCGTGAGCCAGACCGATGGGCAGTCCTTCGATCGCCATTGAATCTTCAGCCGTCATGAGTTTTCCATAAACCGTGAAGCCTCCTTCCCCATCAAGCGTCTCGCCTGCTTTGAGATCTCGCTTTGCTGTCGCGACAACATCGCCGGCCCATGTCTTGGTCTGGCCTGTGGGCTCACCGCGGACCATGATGGTGGCGACGGAAATACCGAGCTCGAGTCCGATGAGGTGATATGGCTTGTATTGAGCGGCGTACCAACCAGATGGGTCGGTCTTCAGACCATATTGCTTGAAGCACTCACGCTGGTACTCTCCGGGTGCTAATAGTTATATCAGAAACCGTCGTGGCTGAACCAATTGGACTTGAAGAACGCTTACCTTTTATAATCACGTAGACGCCCCATCGTAGATCGTTGAAAACCCATCGACCATCCTTCTCCATGCAAGACACGACTTCGACTGTGCCAGTCTTCTCCAATTGACCTCCGTCACTGATGGGCTTCAACACATTGGGTAAATCCCATACACTGCAGGGCGGGAAACTAAGTCCGTTGGTTGGTGGACTCAAATCACAACCGTTGGCGACAGCCGCCATTTCCAACGCGCTCTTGGTGCCATCAAGAAAACTGTTGAACATCTGTGGGTTGAAGTCGCCACCAGCTAGTTGCTCTTTGGTAAATCCGTAGTGATTCCAGACCGTATCTGGCGTGGAGTAGTGGTATTCTGGTAAGTGCTTGGTGCCTTTGCCAGCGCATACGACCTCGAAGCCAGCCGTTCTTGCCCAGTCAACCATCTCAGCAATGAGTGCAGGCTGGTCACCGTAGGCCATTGAGTATATGATACCGGCTTCTCGGGCCTTTTGGGCTAGCAGGGGCCCCGCCAGGACGTCTGCCTCGACATTGATCATGACGATGTGTTTCTTATGCTCGCAGCAGAGCAGAGCATGACGAATACCTGCGGCCGGGTTACCGGTAACTTCAAGGATGACGTCGTTCTCGGGCGTTGCGATTAGGGCGGCCGAGTCCGTGGTGATAGCGATCTTGCCGTTGGCGATACCTTCAGAGATTGAGAGCGAAGCGGTGGCATCAAATCTGTTTTCTGGGTATCCGGTGCGGTTGAGAGCAGCATGGGCACGCTCTTGTGATAAATCCGCGATTGCAGCAAGGTGAATACCTGCAGTGCGATGAGATTGAGAGATGTACATGGAACCAAACTTGCCAGCACCAATGATACCGACTTGTACTGGCCTGCCGGCTCTTTCGAGATCAGCAAGTTTAGTCGATAGACTCGTCATGATGACTGGAATTGCGGCTACTGGTGAGAGTTTTGGAGACGAGAAAAGAATTGCGTAGGTAGGAGGGGTCTTCAGCTGTTGTGGGAATGAAATGGAATAGCTGAAAATGTGATTCCACGAGATTGATACTAGAGATATAAATGTAAAGCTGTCCTCCTGATTCTCAACAGAAACGTTTTCCAGAGTCTCCAATCGACCTGGCCTGGGTTGAGACGATCCTAGGCTGGCCGACTGCTACCCCACCGCGATTTCAAAAGTTGGCCGCTGCATCGGCGTTACGCCGATTTCCCGGTTCTTGTCAGACCACAGTCATACATGACTCCAATACGCCTCACGGAGATTATTTTGTGACTGACATTGCCGCGAGAAGGATGTGTTTATCCCAAGCGTCAGCAGTCAATCTTCGGACTTCAAGAGCCGTGCAATCGGCTCACATTGTAGTGGCTTTGGGTTCTACAGGTCTACCGGGTTCAACCAAATCGAGTTTGTTTGCCGGGAAACCGGAAAGCGATACCATTTGACGAAACCTACCCCGGAATCTTGGCGATGTTAGTGTGTTGCTTGCGGTCGGGGTAAAGGACATCATCAAGTCTAAGAGGCGCTTGATCGAGCCGCCTCTGTTGGGTGACAAGTGTGGTCGGTTCAAGACATAAGCGACGGAAGGTAGTTGGGGTTGAATAGTTATAAAGTCATGGCTGCACTTGATTCCCGAATCTTGAATTTCTTCGTTCATACAAGAAAAGGCAAGGCCAGCTTCACCGAAATTAGCCCCTATTCTCGTTCTCTCGTCATCAATCTTTTGCCCCTTCACCAAGGTAAAGACATCTCCAGGGAAATTGTTTGTCCGAGTGGTTATAGAGACTCCCTTTGAAGAACTCCGCCATTTGATTATGTCGACCGAGCAGGATGTGACGGAGAACGCACCAATGGTAGTCGACTATGCTGCCATTGTTGCTGCGTGGTCCCCAGAAGAGAGGGCCGAACGAGAGAGGAAGTTGGTACGGAAGATCGATTGGAGGCTCTTACCTATCCTAGTATGTCATAGACCTTCGCCAGGATGGCTTGGAGAACGCACACGTACTAACCTTGGCGCAGATTGTCATGTACATCTTGAACTATGTCGACCGGAATGCTGTTCGTGAGTGTTTTCAGGTGACGGACGTCAAGTCAGTACGACTTGCTAACCTGGCACTAGCGCATGCTCGAGTTCAGGGCCTAGAGAAGGACCTCGGAATGTCGGGTTACAAGTATAATATTGTCCTTTCGGTTACTTTCATTGGATATATCGCCATGCAAGGTACTTGCCAAAGATTCTCCGGGAGACCAGTCGAGACGAAATTCTAACGCTGATACTCCCAGTGCCCAGCAACATGATTCTTACCAAGGTCCGCCCTAGCTGGTATCTTTCTGGATGCATGGCTACGTGGGGCATAGTCAGCGGTCTTTCTGGCGCAGTCCACAGCTTTGCTGGGCTGGCGGTCAATCGGTTCTTTTTAGGCATCACCGAGGTTTGTAACCTAAAGTAACATGACGTGCTGAGTGGGATTGGACTTAACTCCCAAACCGCATGCTGACCAGAAGCCCACAGGCGCCCTTCTTTGTCGGTTGCGCTTTCTTGTTTAGTGGCTGGTACACCCGAAAGGAACTCGGTCTACGTCTTGGTATATTCTTTTGCGCTGCCATGGTGTCGGGTGCCTTTGGTGGACTCTTTGCCGCAGGCATAGCGGCTGCGTTCTCGAATAACTCCCTCGAGTCTTGGAGATGGCTCTTCATCATCGAGGGTATCGCAACAGTCGTATTCGCCACGGCCACCGCGTTTACTATACCCGACTGGCCCACGACTACGAAATGGCTGACGCCTGAAGAGAAAGCTATCGGTGTCTTGCGTATCATCGAAGACGCTGGAAAGGAGGAAGAACAGATTAGCACTTGCGCCGCTTTCAAGCTTGCGGCTAGAGATTACCACATTTGGCTATGCGTAATCGGCCAAATGTGTTTGCAGGCTGTTGCTTCTTTGACCAACTTCCTGCCCACCCTTGTCCAGAGCTTCGGGTATGGAACTATTGAGACACTGCTGCTGACTTCGCCGCCGTACATCTTCACTGCCTTGTTCTGCCTCCTTAACACTTGGTACTCGGATCGTACGTCAAAGCGGTCGATACACATCATCTACCCGGCTGCAGCCGCTCTAGCTGGAACCATCATCACGATTGCAACTACAAATACTGGGGCACGGTATTTTGCCTTGTTCCTCATGTTGCCTGGGACTTATGGCTGCTTCCAGATCTCCAACGCCTGGATGGCGAATATTGCTGCTCGACCGCAAAAGAAGCGAGCCATTGCCTTGGCTGCGAATAATTCAATCGGAAACCTCGCACTGGTTTGGACTCCGTATCTATACCCAAAGAGCGCCGGCCCCCGTTATACGGTAGCTTGGTCGGTGAATCTCGCCCTTCTCGTCATTGCAATCACAAGTACTGCGGTACTGGCGTTCTGTTTGAAAAGGAAGAACCAGCATATCGACAATCTGCGAAACTTTACCGCTCTTGAGCAAGGCGTGGTAGATGGAAAGTACAGCAGTACTCACGTGGAGGAAGGGCAAGATGGACCTGGCATGGAGCAGCCGACCGCTGGAACCAGGATGAGATACCAGATTTAGTTAGTGTTGTGACATAGTGGGTTCAGAGACATCCGGAAGCCTACATCGACTGTCTTGCAATTGTGGTCATGTCGAGCATGGCATGGATGTAATATGACGCTTGAAGGCCATGTACAAGGAGGCGCGTCCTGCTACAATAACAATATTCCAACCAGAACTCATCAACCGCCCAGGAGTGCATGTGCCCCCACGATCCCTTCTTTTCTGTCTACTGCTCTAGGCTTCCCTTCACATCTCAAGCTGCGAAGGAGCCAGGTTAATTACCGCAGATCTACGCGATTGGCCTGACTGTCAAGGATGGATCATACAAAGACAGGAATTCCCACCGACCACGGTCCACGGCAGCCCCGCGTTCCCCTCCTGGACTCTTCCCCGCAACATGCACGATTACCCCGGCTGTTGGCTTGTTGATTCATCATGTCGGAAATTTCCCGATTTTCCGACCTTCTTCGATAGTGCCCAGCTCGTGAACGAGCACCGGCAAAAACTCATCACTATGCGAAGGTCTGGCCCGATCGTTTTGGCATGCAACACAGCACTCCGTCCAAGGCCGCATCAGGCGAATCAAGGAGACGATTGACTGGAATGATGGATTCTCCGAAATCGCCGACACAACAAGCCGCCAGGGATAGTGGTGTCAACCCACGGGCAAGCAGTCATACCCCTCAAGATAGTCGCTCTATCGGCCCAGGTCGGAAATCTAAGGCTTGTAAGTTTTGCTGTTTGGTCCTAGCTTTGGGGACCGGTTCTGACCGTCTTTTAGGCTTGGAGTGTAAGAAGCTTAAGATGAAATGCGAGGTGTTCCCAGGAGATAGGAAGTGCCGACATTGCCTCCGTCGCAATGTCAGTTGCGTTGTGAGGCGGGCCTACATCGCTGAAGTTGCCGCGGGAAATGATCCGCCCAGCTCAGCCGAGACCTATGAGTGTGTTTGTTTGCATCTGAGTGATATGTTGGAGCTCGCGGACTCACTCCTATTCCAGGAAGAAAATCGACGAAATGAGGTCTGAGATCAAGCATATGAAAGAAAGTTTAGATGCTGTCCTAGCAGAAAGCACCAGACATCAAATCGCTTGCGTGAACTCTGTTCGTCACAAACACCGGAATCAAGAGCCGACACCCCAAGCCCCGGTACCGACAGTGCCTCTTTTCTTCGAGAACCGATCTCCTTCTTATAGGTCTTTCGAACACAGCAACGCCCCGCCTCTTAGCACACCCGGCAGCATGACAAGCCCGGCAGGGCTGTCCTCAAGAGAAGATAACACCCAAATGGCTATGACACGAGAAAGTTCACCATTAACAGTGCCCGACAGCGAGCTCGGTAGCGAGCCAGTTACTTTAGAAGACCCCATGGGTAGCCTATATGAAGTGACGCGGCTTCGCAACATCCGAAGTAACAGGTCAAAGATGACGAGACCTCAGCCGGCAAGTCAAGACGAGCTCGATGACTTCATCTCCAGGGGCATCATCGCCGAATTAGAGGCAGAAGAGCTCTACGAAATGTAAGTTTTGCAATCTTTTTATGTGTCGTTTCACCGCTGATCAGTTGTTATAGCTTTCACACTTCCCTCAATCACTATCTCTGGGTCGGACTCGAGCAGACCCACCCATCTTTCATCTCCGTCCGCAAATCCTCCGAGTTGCTTACAGCAACAATCTTGGCCGTTACCGCGCTGCACATACCAACATCCGCAGCCACCTTCGATGTCTGCTACAAGGAGTTCCTCTCATTGATCTCTTCCTCCATGTTCTCACGTTACCATTCCATCGACGACGTCCGCGGCCTATGCATCGCTGCATTTTGGCTGTCCGAGGTATCCTGGAAGCTGTCTGGTCACGCAATACGCATCGCGACCGAGCTCAATCTCCACCAATCCTTTGCCCGGGCGTTAGAAGGCGACAGAGAGCACTTTCTACGAGCAAGACTCTGGTACATGCTTTACGTCTGCGATCACCACTTTAGCATCGCGTACGGCAGACCACCAATGATTGCCGAGAGTATACAAATCAGACAACACGAACTCTTCCTAGAAAGTCCCTTTGCCAACGCCCTTGATGCGAGACTATTAAGTCAAGTGAACCTGATGCAAATACTCACGAGAGTGTACGACCAGTTTTCGGAGAGAAAACTTCCAAATGTCAGGAAGTTTCGAGGAACTAAAGACTGTAACAGGCATGTCGGAAGCAGTGATGTTGAAGGATCGAATGGTGATATAACGGCTACTATGCTCACCGAATCCGACTTGGAGGGTCTTCGCCGGCTCAATCTTGAGATCGATAAGTGGCGGATACGATGGCACGCTCGCCAAACACAGAATTTCTGCATCGGCAGCTTCCCGCCTCTAGGTATAATTCTCTACTCCTACTTTGCGAAACTGCAAGTGAACTCTCTCGCCGTCCGTGGTGTATCTATGGTAGCCTCCACACTGTCCACGGAGCGCAAGGAGTTCGCCAACATGGCTGTCTCCGCCGCCATCAGCATCATCACCTTTGTTCTCGAAGAAGATGATATGCGGAGAGCTCTTGTTGGGACGCCGCTCTATGTGCATACAATGATCGCTTTTGCTAGCGTGTTCCTGATGAAGGTTGCCACCAGATGGAATTCACTCATGGGGTTGAAGTTGGAAGAAGCTTACGTTTCCAGCCTCCTCAAGAAGATGATCGAAGCTCTGAAGAACGCTGTTACATCGGATCGGCATGTGTTGAAGCACATTGCCGCTGGCTTGGAGAAGATGCTGAATAAGATGGGCGAAGCAAAGCGGCCGGGACAAAGACTGGATGATCCGGGGCCAGCTCAAGAGGATGCAAACAAGTCGACTGGCGATGTACACATCCCTAATCATGAGGATGATCCGTCCGCGACTGCTGGAAGCTGGCCAAGTTGCTTCCGTGCCTCCGCCGGCGACCAGCTACTTACCCCAGCAACATGGACCGAGCCTCACGTCCCAAGCATGAATAACCAGTTTGAGGATGAAGGATGTTTCAACGATGGATTGACGTTCATGAACGACAACTTGATATTTGAGGCTTTCGGAACGGGATCAGCTAACGACGTGTACAACCTCTTGTCTTCTCAATTTTCCTTGTGAGCTTTCATACCAAAACTACTCGAGGTAGCAAAATTTAGTTCTACGGTCTGTATCCTGACGTGATAAGCCAATCGCAGCGTTCAACTTTGTGAAGGAGGCTCAGCCTCTATCTGGGTTCAGGTTTCAAGAGTTGCTGGCTTCGCTCCAACTCACAAAGATCGTACTCCAGCCTGACAGTAACTCAATGCATACTTTGTCACATCTAATAATGGACTCGGATCGCGATGTCACGTTTGGTGTCTTCGCTGGATTCTATCACGAATGTTTCCGAACGAGTCAACGGATCTTAGGCGCAAAATTTCAAACAGGACATATCATGTAAGGTAAGGTACTTTAGGTGTACATCCACATCCTCATGAAGAAACCTTCTAGTCTAATGGGAGATACTCATGACGCATATCTCCACTCACTACATTCTCCAGAAATTCTTTCTTGCTCGTCCAAGTCTTTGTTTTCCTTCTGACAGTACCATCTAGTAATGAGGACAAAGATTACTATGAAACCACATCCAGTAATGACAGCACCAGATCCCGTCTGATAGTATTGCTCCTAGTTTCTCAAAAAGAAATATGGTGTAAGCCAGTGGGAGATGGAGGAGACACAGTTGGCAATGGCAACCAGAGCGGCTCTTTTGGTTCGTGATCGTGGTACGCCGGTTGTTTCCCAGGATATTTGAAGTTTTGCTGTCAGTTACGGAGATTCTCTGGGAAAGAAAGACATTCCATGAGCTTAGGTTGAGGCCTAGGAAAGGCCCCGTGGCCAATAAAATCAAGGCGAGATATCTGGCACCAACATTAGCGTTGTGATCACCACAATGGACCCAACCAGTATCAACAGAATCGGAATGATAATGTGGTAGCCCTGCTCAAGCATCCGGCCGGATGACCAAGAAACTGCCTAAGTCACAAGAAATGCAATGATTGGAGGTGGCGCTTGAATAAGGTACGTCTCGGTAGCCCCAAATCCAAGAGTGGCAAGGATCTATAGACGTCTCTTGTGAGTAGAAGTTCGACCCGTGATTGAAGCTGACGTGGATTTGATTGACCAATGGAAAACTTCTTTATTAGACTGCGCGACGATCAGGGAGAAGAGAAGAGGCATGTGAATGGGTCTTTGAGTGCCATCCATACTCCTCCCCAGTAGTCGCCCTCGTCTTCTTCAGTTCGGCCGCCAGCTGATACAATTTACCGGTATTGGGCCATCTAAGACTCCTCGGCAGTTGAGACATAGGTGCCAGTCGACTCGGGAAAGTTGGGCATAAATCAAAAGCTGGCTAAACTAATAATGATACTGACAATACCTGTGACCGCGTTAGTAAAGGAGATTATCATCGCATATCCACTGTAACTGACCCTCGAGAAGCAAGAATCATTGCCATGCTGATAGCTCAGCTATACCATTTATACCGCGGAGGACTCCAGCAGCTAAAAGGCCCGAAACTTCCTCCGAAATGGTGTTTCCGGCGTGCCGAATTGCCATGCGGAGGGGAGACTCATGCTTTGTGTACCAAGACGATGTCATCAAAGACACCGCTGGCACAAAGAGGCCTTCAGTAAGATCTACAATGAAACAACACAGGAGAAAGCCCCAGTCGGCAGTGACCGCGGGCATACATATGGTGGTGATCGACCACCCGATCATACAGCATGGAAGCAAAATTCGTGGCTTTCCCTTCGCGATGATGACATTTGCGGGAACCTACGAAATGATGTATCCTACATAGGAAAGCGAGATACCGGCGGACCACATTGTGTCTGACATGTGCAGATCATCTTGCATGCCGGCAAGTCGTGCGTTGGAAACGTTGATACGGCACAAGGTCGCCTATCCAAAAGCTGAAGATCTCGCAGCGCGCCCGGTGGTGAGAGATGCTAACGGGAAAAGGGAGGACGATAAGCAAGGAGAGAATGATGTGGCGATCCACATGGCTTAAATTTCGATCACATATCGTGCAGATCTTTGCTGCTACTCTATCCAAGCTTGTATCTACATGTACTCATGTCCCTAGAAAAGTCCTCCCGGTGAGAAAACCATCGCAGATGCTCATTCTCGGCGTCAATCAAGACGAATTGGACGATTTAATGGCAAAGTGCAGGCACGTAGATTCATCCCCGTCCTACCATCAACAAATTTACTTGTGTCGATTTGATCTCCCAATCTCTAGGCTCGGCTAATAACGTGTGCAAGCTGCCAGTTCGTTATCACAATTTTTGCTCCGAGAAATTTTAGCATACTTGACACATTCGGGACGACAGTATTTGGATTCCTTGGAGATAAAACTTTCCTTTTTGATTGTGTAATACATAACCAAAATCTCTAAAGGTCTTGATTTTTGGGAAGGGCTCGGTCTTGGTTGTTGCACAGCCCTTTCGGGTAGTGGCTCTGTGCAGGAAACTTACCCGGAATTTCTGCCTTGTCACTGTTTCTAACAGGGAAAGTCTGAGCTTGCGGAACAGGGTGGGATGCTTCGGAGATCTCTGAGCCTAAAAGCACTGGACCCCAAAGTGTTCCTCCGAGATCTATGCCCTGCTATCCTCACTCCCAGACCCAGCAGTGACGTAAATACATACTTTTGTCGTAAGTAACCGAGAAAAGACGATTTGGCCGGAACTAAGCACCTGAATGTTAATGAACTTGCGCGGCTTCGCGGCCTGTTCCGGATCGTCGAGACGCGAACCAAACAGAATCCCGCTGCTAGCCTCGAACTTCATCTGAGACTCAATATGACGGACATTTGCTTCCTCCAAGTGCCTAGCATAGGACGGAAGCAGCGGGACGCTGTGCTCGTTCAAAGTACTAATATTTATACTCCTTTAAGCCATCATCGCGATGATGCTGTACAGGTCGATCGCTCCCTGCGTGGGTGCCGGACTCCATGTCTGAGCTCCAAACCTTGTAGGCCGGACGACTCCAGCTGTTCCCCCGTGGCCCCAGCTTCCTCTTGTACGCCAACCTGACTGGCCAGAGCAACTACCCCAAGCAACCGTAGAACACACATCACGCGTCAGTGTGGTTTCATACGCCGTATATGATCAGCTACGGCTGACCAATATCGCTAGCCGGTCGAATTGGGGGATTCCGACGACCGTTAACAGAGTGAGCAAAGTCCTACTGGCGTATATAGCCAACGGGTCTCGTGTTCATGCCACTCTTGCCAGTAGTTCGTTCTGTTAGAGAACTTATGTTATTCTCAACAAGATGGATATCCTGAAAACGAATCCCCTTTACCTCGGCGGTGCGCTTGTATGCGTTGCACTGGCTGCGGTGTGTTTCCAACTCCCACAGCTGCTGACTTGTGTCATTTACTAATCACTGATTGATGGCCTACTAGTACATCTATGCAGGTCTCACAAACCCATTGTCGAGTATTCCTGGGCCGTGGTACACCAGGTTCACAACACTGCCATCAACGTTCAAGGTCATCACTGCACATCACCCTGACTGGATCCATGATCTACACGCCAAGTACGGGCCAGTGGTGCGGTACAGTCCACACGAGGTCGATATTTCTGATCCACCAACATGCCAGCGCATTCATAGCGTCAAGACTGGGTTTTTCAAATCACCATTCTACTCACTTCTCATCACCGACTCCTCAAGCGTCTTCAACGAGATCCGTCCAGAGATCCACCGCAAGTACAAGCGCTTGCTTTCCAATCCCATGTCGGAAACTGGCTTGAAGACTTTCCTCCCTCGCATAGACAGCAAAGTCCGCCTGGCCATTGAGCGCATTCGTGAAGAGAACAAGGTCCGAGGCGCAGCCGATATCGCCAAATGGTTCATGTTTCTCTCGTTTGATGTCATCGGTGACCTGGCCTTTGGCGAATCCTTTGGCAACTTGGAAAGCGGCAAGGTATACTACTTCTTGACGGAAGAGGCCTCTAGGAGGTTGATAAGAAACATACTAATAACTATGTACCGAATAGAAAAATCGATCTGTCAACGACTTCGTCAGCCTTGGCTTCGTCGGCGGACTACGATCCATGTTCCCAACAATCGCCCAAATCTCTCTCTACCTTCCAATTCCAGTCTTCAAAGAGGCTACGGCTATCCAATACCGTACTTTTGACTACGCTCAAGGCGCCCTAGATCGTCACGCTAAGCGTGTCGAAGAGACCGGCTCAGACCCGCACCCAACAGTCTTCTCCAAGCTCTACAACGCTGGCGAGGAAGAGACCTGGAATCCCATTGAGATCCGTGACAATGCGCAGGTCTTCATCGTCGGCGGCAGTGACACGACCGCCAACTCGATGATCTACCTCGTCTGGGCGGTATGCAAGATTCCCGAGATCAAGGCCAAGCTCATGAAGGAGCTGGACGCGTTGCCGGAGAACTATTCCTACGAACAGCTCAAAGAGCTGACGTACGTGAACTGGATTGTCAACGAGACGCTTCGGCTTTACACTGCTTTGCCATGCGGACTCCCGAGACTGGTGCCGCCTGGCGGTGCGGAGCTTTCAGGGCAGTTTATTCCCGAAGGATTCACCGTTACGACGCAGGCATACAGTCTTCACCGGGATGAGCACGCGTTCCCCGACCCGTATCGATTCTATCCCGAGAGGTGGGAGAATACTACACAGGAAATGAAGGATTGCACTATGCCGTTTGGCGGCGGTGCCCGAAGTAAGCACCATCCGAACAAAGGTATCATCCCCATTGAGATAGCTTTTGCTGATGTATAGAAACAGCTTGCCTAGGAAGACATTTGGCTCGGATAGAGCTCCGTCTTATTACAGCCAGGTTTTTCAAGGCTTTCCCGAAGGCGATTGTGTCTGATATTGAAGGGATGTGCGACAAGGATATGGAGCCAGCATTGCATTTCCTCATGGTTCCCAGTGGTCACCGATGTTTAATCAAGCTCAACGGGTAGTTACATTTCCTCTCATTCGCGTAGAAAAGAAGAATTCCATGGATCCCTTGAACACGTCGAGCTGTACCATGAGCCTCGTTTTGGCGAAATAGTGTGAAACTGTGTCGGGTCCGTGGATGAGTAGAAGCGGGGCTGAAGCTGGACCAGCCGGCTTCGGGACGCGATGCGGAAGCAGAAAAGACCCGGCAGGCTGCATATTTCAGCCCGCTTACGTGAGACGATGACTGACCGTATGGAGACCCTAGAATTGTAGGCAAGCGTAGCTGACACACTCATAGCACTCTATTCGGAAGCCAAGGTGTTTAGTCCGGCGGAGAATTCGGACGCGGGAGTAAACTTTGCGCGTCATGCCGCAATGTGGATCTGGGGTACGGACCGCAATAGATGGAAGTGCATACATCTGGATACGCTTTCTATCGAGATGAAGCCGATTGACTGAACCAAAATTATCTGAATACCCTCAGACTCTTGAGTAGAAATCAAAGGCGGCGTTAGCTGCTCTGATCAATGAGAAAGTCTCAGCTTGCTCCATGGATGACAAAGGGACAGCTGAGCTGCAGCAAACCGTGGGCAACACGGAGCGGGGCTCAAGGGCGCCGTGCAGCCCCGCCATCGGCTGCAACGACCCCACTACCCCGCCGCGGCCCCTGGCGGCGGAATGGTTCGACCACGCCCTATGACTTCATGCTGAGCCGCCAGCCGTTCAGCCTTCATATGTAAGCCTCACCTCACACATCTCCTCACCGTCACACCAAACTCATCATCTCCTAGTTTCTCCAAAGCCTCAATTGACTTTCCCTCAACATACTCATCTCAAAAACACCCATACACAGAAGCAATGGCCGAAACTCCCAGTGCTAAGCGTCAGAAGTCCTCCAAGGACGTCTCCTACGAACTTATCTACTGGCCAGGTCTCCCCGGCCGCGGAGAGCATATCCGCCTCCTCCTGGAAGAAGCCGGCGCTGAATACACCGACACCGCGCAGATTGAAGACGGCGTCAAGACTGTCCTAGCCCAGATTGATGACAAGAACCTGGGCGATGAGAACAACCCGCCTCCCCTGGCTCCCCCCATCCTAAAGCACGGCGAACTCCTCATCAGCCAGACTCCCAACATCCTACTCTACCTGGGACCACGGCTCGGCCTTGCGCCCAAGATTTCCGAAGATGACGACGGCATCTACTTCGTCAACGGCCTTGCGTTGACTGCGCTGGATGGACTGAGCAACGAGGCTCACGACACGCACCACCCTATCGCGACAGGGCTGTACTACGAGGACCAGAAGAAGGAGAGCAAACTCAAGGCCAAGGACTACATCGCCAACCGGTTGCCCAAGTTCTTTGGCTACTTTGAGCGGGTGCTAAAGAGCAAGGCTAGCGGCGAAGGCCCTTGGCTCTATGGCGGGTCTCTGACGTACGCTGACTTGGTGCTTTTCCAGGTAAGAATTCCATCCCAGGTATTTTGAGTCTTTATGGAAGCTAACCTGGGCAGTGTCTCGATGGTCTCAAGTTCGCGTTTCCCAATGCTCTGAAGCGTATTGAGGGAACTGGCGACTTCAAGGGTCTCTTTGCGCTCTACGATGCTGTCAAGGAACGGCCCAAGATCAAAGAATACCTTGCTAGCGACCGTAGACAAAAGTACTCTCAAGGGATCTACCGCCACTATCCTGAATTGGATGAAGAGTGACGGTGAGAGCAGTGCTACTGGAAGGGTTTGACGGTTTGAGACATGCTTTGAAAGATAAGCTCGAATAAACTGTACCATCTCAGAATTGAAAGACTTTTGTGTTACATTCATAGAGCTTACCGCTTTGAAATTCCATGGCTTTGTTTTTGGGTCATTACATCCCCTACAGCCAGTTCGCTCTTGCCGTCTATCGCGATCCCATGTTCTATTGGGCATTTGCCTACCCAATTGTCGCTCTACGCTAAAGCAACTCACACCCTTTCGCATCTTCACAGCCTTCCGAGCCAACTTCACCCTTCCCTGCACATCAACTCAACTTCTTTGATCTTCCTTTTCCTGCCACTCTCAATCACCTTTGGGAACTTCGATTTCATCACTGAAACGCAAACGCCCTGATCTTGGAACATCTGAAGAACACAATACTCGGCATTACCCGGCCAAAAGGTTGTCCGTCATGAGTGGTCAACAGAGCCCGGCAACTACCAAAGGCGCATCCCACAAGCAGGCGTCTTTTGAGACTCCTGAGACTGCGCCTCCGGCGGATCCCATTATCGCAGCTGCTTGGGGTCCTTATGTGCCTCCCGATGCT